TGAAAATTAATTTTATTCACGAAGTATTTTTACTGAAGAGAAATGCATACTTTCGAAATTAAATTATTTTAAGCGCAAAGAAGAGCGCAATGGTTACAAAAATCATTTTGTGAGGTCTTATGAGATCGATAAAGAAGATTTGAGTGTTTAAAAGACGAGATAGTGTTCGTTTTTGCACGCGAAGCCCTCAAACTCGTGCAATAATTTGCTGATAAAAATGACGATTTTAACGGAATTTCGTTATTTGTAATTTTTTCTGAAATAAAAAGATATATCGCCAAAAAAAGTATCCAGTGATTTTAGTTATAGCCTAGCCTATCTAACATTAAAATAAGAAAGAAATCGAATTTTCCACCCTTGCCGCGATATGTTTTATTTTTACAGACAAGCGCTCTTAAGAATGATTTTACTTTACTAGACACAACTTATAATATTGACATTCCCTGCAACTGGTTCCTCTCCGGTAATACCCTTGCCACCGCTCTTAATCTGACTGATTTTTATTGCACTATGCTGTGCAGTATTAGTAATAAATTAGATTTAATGTAATTTTATTAAAATTTAAATTTATTATGAGATTTTTTTTACTCAGATTTTGGGTTACGCCTTACATGGGATACTTTTCCTATTCGTGCAATCCCTTTTATTCTTTTCATTTCTGCCATTGAATTACTAAATGAGACCAATAAAGTTGATAGGAAGATAATATGATTGCAAGTGTAACATACTGAGCTAGTGTCAGATGAAAAGTTACTCCTCAGGGCGTGCTTGGTGCATGCGTCAATTTTTCTATTCAAGGTCAAAAAAATGGTGAGATTAAAAGGAGGTGGGGTGCAAGAGATGCAAGGGAATATCTATGACAACTGTTAACATTTAACCACAAAAACTGTGTTTCATTTTATTAGTTGACCAATTCCTTATTACAATATGTTTAATTCACCACAAGCATCTACTCGGTGTCTCCCGCGTATTACAATACAAGAAATTGAAATTTCTACACATACTTTCCTAAATATGTAATAATATTACATATGACTGCCTTAGTAAGCCATTTCTAATGGATTAGAACAATCATGGGCGGCTCTACATGTTCTAAGTATCTAAAGTGATAATTATAACTTTCATGTTTCCTGAGTTATAGAGTTTAGTCGATCTCTATTGAAAGAAAGCCAGTTGTGCACCATACTTTAATAACTTTTGACAATTGTTGTTTATTGGCCAAAATCAATTTTATGCACAAACGTGTGAATAGGACCCGGGGACCCGTTTATCGAAAGAGGGTCATTTTACAGACCGTGGAAGCCATATTGGTGAGGAGTAGAATCACGGGTTATATAGCTAAGAACTAGTCCATTTCCGTTCGGGATAGTAACACCACCCGCTGATCGATATGAAACCCGGAAAGTGCCTTAAACATCTGGAATTTAATTCTAATGTCCAATCAAGAATTAACCACGAATTAATTAACAAGTAACATTAAGGTAACCATATATACCATAAATATATACTATATATACTATAAACAATACTGACAGAAAAGTAGGAAGCCCATCCCTATTGTCTTAAAGAATCAGGCGACGTTCTCAGCTTGTTTATTGTTGAAAAAAAAAATACGTAGCTTGTCTCATAGCAATTCACATTTACTAAAACATTTAAAAGTTACTTTAATAATGAATGAACTGGATGGTGGCCATGATTACAGTGAAAACGGCAAGTTCAAGAAAACTGATGTCATATATGTGACTGTTCAACCCATAGATCTAAGCTTGAGCGGCAAAATGTCTGAAATACTGAAAAAAAGTAGCTCTTAACCTTATCTCGCAGTCTTCATCAGCAGAGTGATCTCTGCGTTACCACATGGTAATTTGATGTTTGTGTATCGACAAGTGGTTTATAAACGCGGATAATTTAAAGCCTCCTCCTCTGTTTCGCGTTGGACGTTCATCCCAGTCGATATCGTGACTGACCTTTGACGGTGGCGATCTCAGGTCGCAGAGATAACTCTTGCACTAAACATGCAACCACGTGATGACACAGAGCTCACCGTTTGCTGACGAGGACTTAAGAAAAACGTGAAATAAACTAAAGTTTATGTGTGTAAGGTTTTCACTGTATCCTGCGAATTTCACAAGCCAACATTTGATGCACGCAAATAAAAAATATGTATATATATACTGCAAAGTAATTATTTCCATTCCAAAGATTCAAGTATCTCTTTCATCGACTCCAAGTACTCCTTAACTTTGCTCAAATTTTTGCAAGGTGACCTTTTACCCGATCTTTTATATTCGGAGCAAATGTCACTGTCGAATCTTACGACTGTAATATTTTTGTCAACATCTTCAAAATATTTTCTTGCATGGTGGTCTACTTTTTGAAGGGCATGGCATTACCTCATATTCGCTTGCTTTACCTCGCCTCATTAGTATTGATCGTAGCTAAGGCAATCCGCCATCATAAATAGTATAACATTCAGGGCTTTTGGAGCACAGTTAGATTGATGTGATATGCAGGCAAAATAATGAGCTGTGACTTTCATTACGTTTGCGTCACCCCAGCTCATCGAATGTCGCCTTGAACGCAACGCGGACGGTGGTTAATTCCCAAGGGCCTTGTTGTAATTCATCGAAAACTGTTTGGCAATCTTTCAATTGCTTCATTTTGGAGAGGGGATATTACAACAGGGTGTTAAATGTTGATGACGAGGTCCTTCTTTTTATCATAGAGCGCAAAGTAGCGGAAAAATGGTTCAGCGGAAATGGGCTTCAGAAGAAAGCATCGACATCACGTACGGACCCTTTGCAGAATATCTTGCTTACCTTTCTTCCATTTGTTATGAAATATTTGGAAATATCGAAACCAAATTATAGGGAGGGGGGAGGGTTCCATCCATGCCTAATTTTCTTTCTTTAACACGATGAGGAAGTGTCAGTTAGCTGTACGCCCAAGGATTTGAATCACAATTAAAAAAAAATATATATGAACAAGACGTAAGCTTGGAAACTGTGGCAATAGGAATATTTTTATCTATTACTCCAGTTCTGTAGAGAGGCTTTGTTGCTGTTATTGTTCGCAGTTTATTACTCTATTTTTTTGTAATTGTTTTGTATTTGTTTTTTATTTTTTGTTTTTTGTTACATCTCTGTCAAATTAAATATCGTGCAATTTAAGACAATAATAACAATAAAATGATTGTATTTTACAACTAGAATGTGCAGTTAGCTGCAAGGAAAACTTAAAAAATTTATTTTCGGGAATTAATAAATTTACAGCTTATTGTTCTGTCTTTGTGAAAGATTAATGTATTCAGTTCGACAATGTTTGGAACCATCGTAGAATAAATCATATTTACATTACTCAATAAATATATATATATATGTATATATATATCCTAGCCTATTGCATGGCATACCTTTCGGTAAAGAATATTAAATTACTTGAAGGTCAACCGTTATTTTCATTCAAATTCCCAGGATTAAGATCCGGGTCATGCCTAAACATAAGGTTAACCTCCCATGAATTATCTACTCTCTACCTTGATTCTGCTCACATATAATCTTTCTTTAGATTAAGGATCTAATTACTGCCTGCAGTAATGTAGTTTTGTAGGATGAGTCACGACTCTCTACCTTGATCCTGCTCACATGTAATCTGTCTTAAGACTCAGGATCTAATCACTGCCTGCAGCATTACTGCCTGCATTACTGCCTGCATTACTGCCTGCATTACTGCCTGCAGTAATGTAGTTTTGAAGGATGAGTTTTGTGGGATGAGAGTCGCCACTCTCTGCCTTGATCCTGCTCACATATAATCTGTCTTTAGATTGAGGATCTAATTACTGCCTACAGCATTACTGCTTGTCTTTACTTCCTGCAACATCCTTAGGATGCTGCAGGTAGTAACAGTCATATTACTACCATCTGCTTACATTCTTGAGGTAAGGTAGTCAGTCAGTTAGTATATACCACACAAGTGAAAAATGCCTTTCGCGCAGCTGATTAGCTAGTGCGGAATAGAAGAGAATAGCAAGAATTGTTCACCTCCGACAGCCGATATTTATTGGTATTTTAAAAGAGATGGACTTATTCTTTGGTATCCGTGTGGTATGTAACAAAACAAGTATTCACCTCTATTCAGTGTCGGTGAAAGTGTTGGATATCACTATTCACCTCCACTTCGGTGAATAATTGTTAAATGTTGGTAAGATTATTTACCTGTATTAGAAATAAAAGTGGCCCAAGCTTCGACCCTTGACATGGGGAACTCCACACCATAGAGTGGCTTCTTTAGAAGAGTACTCCGTTTACATGTACGATCTGAAATCCTTTTAATAAATAAGAGTGTTTACGGCGTAAAATTTACACCATTTTAAGGCATGGCCACGCACTCCTGTATACTCTGATTTATAGTAAACAAAGGCTGGTGGTATACCGTGTCAAAGGCTTTTTTTGGATCTAAAAAAGTGGGTGGATGGATAAATAGATGAGTGAATAGATGGATGAATGGATGGATAGATGGATGGATGGATGAATGGGTAGAAAAATGGACAAGCACCGTAATGGAGGCCGAGGGAATGATGTGAGTGGAACCTAGATTAAGGAGAGTGTGAAAACAGAGAGGCGGACGATCGAAAGAAGAATAAGAATTTAGGAGCAGAGGTCTCTTTCACTCTCCCACCAAAATGCCGAAAAAAAAAGTTAAAAAACGCCGCTCTTTCACTCGCCTTCACCGAGCGAGGGCTTGGAACAGCCTACTTAACCCTTTCACTCGTCAGTAATTCTCCTCACCGTCTGCCACACAATTCTTATGATATTAGTTTGGAGAATTTGGTATTGAATCAACGTCGATCTGTCCTTTCTTATCTGCTTGATATTGCATTGACACTGTAAGAAGAAATTCTCTCTTGGGTCACTCATGGGAGTCGAAGGGTTCATGCGATTTGTCCATCGTTAGGCCAAAGAGAGTCCAGCAGAACTGCCATGGTATATAATGGAGTGGAGTCAAGTAGGACATTCCCAGTAATGAATGTAACAATACATGGTTGGTTGTCCTGAAGAAAGTGTTCCTTCGCACTTACACTCGTATTGGCCTTTGACGGTGGATTCTAATTGGCAGGTTTTGGCGTCATTTGTGTCACAATGCACGCTGATTATTCTTGTGCCCTAATTAACAATCAAACATACAGAAAAAAAAAAAACGAAAATAAATAACTAGCATTAACAGGGCATTAAGTTACTTTAAAAGAGTTTCTCTCCATATTATTGCCCACCTCTCCAATCCCTAGGGTTGAGACGTACAAATTGTCAGACCTTATATTACTGAAAAGTATTTATTGATAACATCGATTTCATTCATGTTTTATGTAGCGTCTCATTCTCATGACAAACTAATGGTGCACCTGTGGCCTTTTCTCTTACAGCTATGTTCATATTTTATTCAAAATTAGTACGTCCTTCCATCCGTTCGTACGTTTCTTTGTTTTACAATAAACCAGTCAGAAAGTCCTTCAGTTGCTCGGTCGGTAGTTTGTTTATTCAGCCAGCTAGTCGGTCGGTCTATCGGTCGGATGCACGGACATCCCTCTTGTTTAGTCAGACAGTTAGTCAGTCGTCCGGCGGTAGGGCAGTCAAAAATAAGATCGGCTACAAATGATCAGACAGTCGGGCAGTTGGACAGTCAGGTAGTCAGACAATTAAACAGACAGATGGAAACTAACGAGGTTAGATAGTCCGGAACTTAGTAGCTATGTCAATCAGGCGGCCAGTCCGCTTGTCAGTTAGTCCGCCAGCCAATCAATCCGTTTGTAAGCCATTTAGTTAGTCCGGCAATCAGTCTGTCTTTCAGACAGTTAGTGAGGCAATTAGAAAGTATGTCTGTGTGTCTGTCTGACCGCAAGTTTGTATTTCATTCTGTCTGCTAAGTCAGTCAGGCAGGCAGATAGTCAAACTACGGATTGCCTTGATCGGCGTGGAAACTGTTTAATATCTTAGTAAACGGCCCTAAAGGTAGATAAAAACGTAGGAATTACTTTCTTACTTTTTGCTCTGTTACAGATATCTCTTGCTTTATGAGTGACGAGGCAGGTAAACCTACAGAGCTATTTGTTTTGTATTGACAAAGCGTTATATTGACTCCAGGACCTGGCAATCCAGGCGGTCCCACTGGTCCGGTACCACCAACTGGGCCCTGTGTACCGTTATACCCTGGAAGTCCCCTGGGTGGGACAATCTTGGACATGTTAATCACCTGTGTTAGAAAAAGGAGCAGTTAGAACAAGAAAACCCTGTCCTAAAAAGGATCATGATCGTTAAACTCCACATGATCAGAGTAGTTGCGTTTCTAAAATAATCCAAGGATGCATCTTTCTGCTTTGCAACGTTCTGTTATTGATCCGGAAGCACTTAGACAGGGAAACTTTTTAAATGATTTTGTGATATTTTTACTCCTTTGCAACCAATTGAACACAATTACATATGTAGTTGTGCGTAGTAAAGGGTCGAGATCCAATCGACCCGATTTGTGACATTTATTGGTTTTCTTTTCTCATTCTTTTTGTTTTGTTGGGAGTGATTTTGTTTTCGAAATATGAAACCCCTCAAAGTCGCAGGTATCTTAGCTCATTTCTCTTTATTGTATCAATTATGGAATATGACATTTTTGAAAGGTCCGGCGTAGTGCAGAATGTAGAAAAAAATTTTTTTTTCCTTTATTAGAGACTGTAGATTATTCGACAACTAACCTGTTTCTTGACATCCAGGAGTTCATTTTCTGACGAATTCAATTTGCGCCACAAATCGGACAAATCTTCCTGCTCTAGAGAACTTACGTTGAGGTAACTAATCTCTCGTCTCTGCGACAAAATGAATAAATCAGTTATTTAATGCACGAATAACGCATTAAACCAGGAGCCTCTGATTAAACTCATAACGCATTGATTTTTGAATACCAAAGCCAAATCATAAAACATACAGCCTTTAGCTGAACAATTCAACGACAGCAGATTTATCAAAGTAGCAATAACATACAGTTTGCACGCGGTTGACAGAATTTTCTTGCGCAGTACTTACGTTGTGTAAAACTCGTTGTCGAGTCTTCTCATACTCTTCCCTCAACTTTGTCAAATTATTCGAAATCATTTTCACAGATTCAAGCAGATGAATTCTTTCCTGAAAAATTGATGATAAAGATATAAACATAAAAAAACAAGGCGTGTTTGCGGCTATACTTTTATGAATAAAACAATTTTTAGACATCACAAGGAGGAATATATAAAATAATTATTATAATTATAAATAATTATTGACAGACCAAAATTTTGTCTGTTTCGACAACATGACATCTTCACTGGGTGCAGTGAAAGGGTCATTTTACTTTACCAACATAAGAAAATTTTAATTCAGTTGTTTTTTTTTTCTCTTTTTTTTCTAACATGTACAGAGAAGAAGATGTATTATGAATATCAGTTGACTTTTTTCCTACTTCGGAAGTTAAAGCAGCATTTACGCGAGCTGAGTTTACATGAGGGTGATCTTTGCGTCAATTGCTCACGATATGCATGTTAAAATTATTCTTGATTTGGATATTTAATTAATACCCCTATATTAAACAAAACATTGCATGTTGGCTTGTTGATACGAATTCACCATCTCGCGCTAAAAATTTAATTCCTACGCAGTCAATTTCATCCGTATGCGTTTCTTTATCTTCTTCGTGCCGCTCTAAGGGCCTGAATCCTGACCATGTAGCCTAAAGAATGAATTTACTTACTGCGTTTAAATCACTGATAGCTTCCTGAAGGAAGGAAAAGTTTTTTTTTAAGTTTTCCATGCTCGAAATATTCGTCCGCAGTTCTTTCATATTTTCAGAGGTAATTTTCTGGAACTTCTCACCTGCGAAAAAATGAGTGCGTAAGAAGAACGACCTTAAAAAATGGCAAGTTGAACAATATTATGTTAAGGTTGTTAAATGTTAAGTTTGTCAAATATTAAGTTTTGGCACTCTGTGTGCCATGCACGTTGCTTGTTCCATAGCTGATAAAATGGGTACGCTTAAATCAAAGGGTCATGATCTGAGTTCTTGATCTCTTGGTCATTTATGAAACCCGCTATTTCCTATTTTTTTTTCAAATGAGTTTCAAGGAAGTGCGCACGCTGGCCTAAGGGAAGGGCACAAAAAAGCAAAACCTCACGCGTCAAGTCTACATTGCCCATCATGTTTACATTGAACATTATTTACAACCAACCGCAGGACCAGTCTATCACTGAATGGTCAAGTCTGCTTGGACTCAACGCAAACTTGACCATTGATGGGGGTCTGAAAGTTTAAAAAACCACAATCATAACAATCTCTTATTGGGGATTAACGGAATTAACTAACCCCAGTAAAATGATAAGTTTAACCCCCCCGAAAATATCTGTAAGACTGTGAAGCTAGTGGAGTCACAGATAGTCTGGAACGTTATGCATTTAAATCACTTCCACCAACAATGCATTTTATCTGAATTTCCAGAAAGAATATATTTTTATTTTCTTTTGACGGAGGAGAGGATTATTAGGTGCTTGAAAAATCCCAGGTGGGTCGTTGAAAGCTAAAAGTTGTTTCGTGTTCAGTCAAACGATACTTCAACACAGCGACAATCCGGCAATTTATGATCCAATTTTTATTGTCTGGCACGATGAAACTCGATGAGCTATAGAGTCCTTGACTCTTGCAATCCCAAGATCTTATTAGTTATTCTCCTTAGTGTCTACTATTCAATTCTTATGATGTTATTTCAGAGAATTTGGTATTGGGTCAACTAATAATCCCCTAATTGATATTTTTACATACGCTCTTCACTTTTCTGCTTGAAGAAGAAATGTGTCTTGGTCACTCATGGGAATTAAAAGGTTAACAAGTTTCCTTTTTCAAAAAACTGGCTTGTTGGGTTTCAGAAAAGGGACTTACGATGAAAAAAAACTTGCTCATATCGCATCAATGTTTCTAAGGAAATAGTGTTACGAGGGAAAATGATAATTAGTGACCTTGCTAGTTTAAAAATCAAGTCCAAACGAAACATAACTAAGGATCTAGTTGACATTCCGACAGGTAAATTTATAACTTCCTAGACGTAAATCCTTTCTCGAGGTTATAAGACCTCTTTAGGGACTAATCTAAAAAAAATGACACCGCTGTATAGGGTTTCTGAAGCGGTGAACGATGCGGAAAAGTATTTTCCTCTGCACGATTATTCAGCCTTGATACTACGTCTGTGGAAAACAATGCGAACATATGTCTCAATGTTGAATGCACGTGCACAACTCTTGTTCGACTACTATTTTAACGGCTTTTACTCGGGATTTCCGCAGCCGCCGTCGCAACACTCTCAATTTAAACAAGCCTTGTCATTGTTAATTTTTTTATCACGTCGCCGTTCTCGATTTTTTTTTACTAGCATCACCTCTGTGGCATTTTGCTATCATCACAATGTTACTGTTTTTATCACATCCTTCAGTTTTCGTAGTTAAGGTTTGGCATGGCCAAAAATCGTCGACGCGGAACAGTGCGATACAGTTTCTTGAACAACTTGTAACAGGTTGTAATTTACGAGTAATGGACGAACCAAGAAACCTTTCGTCAAATAAGTACTTCTTAATGAGCAGAAACGAGCTTCCATATATCTTCATCTCCGTAAGATCGGAAAAAAGTCATTTCTACTTACCAAGTTGTTTGAACATTTCCCAATGAGTATGCGCCACAAACTATTCACTCTACGACGGCGGCGTGTGGTATGTTTCGTCTGGCCAAGTTTAAATATAAAAAGACCTAGTTTTCTTATCGCTGCCTGGGTAACCTTAAAACACTCTCAGGAATTTAAAAACAAATTTTTGTTCTCACGGAATTTCACCGGGCGTTCATATCTATTCAGCCTGTCTGTCGGAACCTCAAAGGCTACCGCTCCATGCACGAGGCAACCTTGCGGAAATACGAGAAAAAACATTACTCTTGCAGCTATGGTTTTTAAGAAAAAAAACGGAAGATTTGTTTACTTTTTTATATTCTTTTCCCTTCACTGATGTTTGTTTCTGTTTGTCTATTTGTTTCTTCTCGTTGTTGCTTCGTGACAAAAAAGAGCTGGATCGGAAAGAGACATGACATCTGACGCCTTTCTCATATCGCACATAGTCAACGTTGTGTACTTCAACCAGGACATCAAAGTTAAGACGGACATGCTGTAACTCCTATGTCAAACCACGAAAACATTGGAAGAACGTCAATATGGGATGTACGTTGTTCCATTTCCTTTCGGTATCATGCAGCATCCCACATGCAATGATCTTTAGAACCAAAAACGTCTTATGTCTTTTGTATCGATATCGTTTCCGCTCTATAAAGAAGGGGTTCTCAATCCTTTCTATCTTCTTCTTCAACTTACTAGTCTTTTAATATTTATTAACTAACAAATCAGTATACTTTTCATTATTATTAGTATTTTGTGTGTTTCCGCGTTCACAAAGGTCACTTACCTTCAGCGCGCAAATCACTGTCGCAACCGTTTGATCCCACTTCAGCTTCTTTCTGAAAAATCATCCTATAGCACACGTAACTTGTAAGACCTAGGCATAGGACTGTCAATACCAATAACAGAATATTCAAAGCCACCAGACATCGCATTCGTCCTGAAGAAGACCGAGGCAGTCTGTCGTTTGTCTGATACCGACGGCTCCTCGTGTTCTCAACATGTGGTTGCTTTGGAGGGCGATTTTTAAACACGCTGCTGTTGGGAGTAAAAGGAGCTCTATCTAAGCTGTTGAACGCCGGGTTTTCGTAAAAATGGAGTTCATCGTAATGTCTTCTGTTAGTTGGCTCAGAATAATGATTTTCGAGTCGCCTCCGTCCTTCCATCGTTTTCTGTTCAGAGCGATCACCTTATGGCCTAAGTTTTGTTTGGGTGCGACTTTGTCAGGGTATGACAGCTATTTCCTTTACGTTATTTTCCCAACCTGTTACTTGATCACCGGAAATCATTCGCGGTTTCCATCAAGGGGCTGTCGGCGGGGCGGGAAAAGAAAATCACGCCACTGAATCACGCCTGTTTAGCGCAAAACGTGAGAAGGAGGAAGGATATATATTTTCCCCCACTTCGTTCCCTGTTTTCTTGCTTTTATTCCTTTATGTTCGAGTCGTTAGGTTTTTAAGGGAATGAAATGTCTTAGTTTTGCATTCGATCAAGAAATCGCGATGGCAGCTCGGGAATGTAGTTTTAAAATAAGTGCTCAGGTCTTAGTTTGCCTCTGGAAGTTCTTAGACGTAATTCCGCGAGTTTTTAAACCCAGGGAATCCCTAAATCCTCATGAGACAACATGGTTAAAACAGAGGAAACCATAATACAGCCAGATTCCTCTAGTTCCTCTGCTTAAAAGCTCCAGATGGGCTTTATTAGAAGTGGTCGGAAAATCTTTTGCGGGTACGTCATGGGTGTAACTCAAGGAATGACGAAGGTGTGTGGAAGGAAAATGCCAGAAGAATAACCGGAGGGTCTGTTAATTTTAACTGGACTTCGTATTCAAATTCTCGACGTTGAAAACGACCACTTAGTGTCGTAACAAAACACCGTGCGAGGTAGACCTGTCTTTCAGCATACTTAGATACTTCACATTCACCTCTCTCGATCCCCGTAGAGGAGATCTTTACGGAAGCAAAACATCCTTCGCAAGTGACACTCGCCGCGCAGGGCAAAGCGTCCACTAAGAGGTGATGAATGAAAAAAAAAATACACAGGTTAATACGTCTATTTTATCTCATTTCTTGACATTATTGTTGTCTGATAAGTTAATTATGATATATGAATTTGTTACATATCTATGTCCTTGAGACGATTACACAAGCATGCAAGAAGGGAAATTAAGTGTTCTGGTTTGCTACTTGGGCGGGAAAAGCCAGTTTTCCTGAATTTTTCTCACTTTTTCCTCTTTCAAACGTCAGCGCTTGAGCATAGCCCTGTTTTTCTCTAGCTTTGTTTTTTCAACTTCTTTGGACTCTCTGGAAAGAACAAAACTGAATGAGATAACAGAAGGTCCAAAGAAAAAAACCCAGTTTCAATGTTTAGCCATATTGGCCTCACCGTTAGTCAATAACTTCTGTTATATACTGCAGACCGGACGACTATTCCCCACACGCAGCTTTGCGGGTGGTTTTGTTTATAATCCGGAAGAGCAACAATTTGCCATTAAAAAAAACAGAACAACAACAAAAAAAGAGCAGTAAAAACAAAACAAAACAAACAAAAACAAAGAGAGGATGTATACGTGAGACAAACAAAAAAAATAATCTCGACCTCCACAAAAAACGTTGCTTTTACTTAAGGTGGTTAGAGGTTAGCCTATCAGCCCGTAATATTTCCTGTGAACACGTTTAAAGGTCATTAAAATGGGAGGAAGATAGTATGAGCTATGCTATCATAGCTGGCCAAAGTATGCGTTTATAAAACCACAATTTTTCTGCTTTGAGTTAGCTCTAAGTGGAAAGAGCACCCACTTCTACGTGAACAGCAAATTTAATGTACTTCTACGAAAAAAATAGCGTATGTATGGGATCATATTTAAAACGCACGCCTGAAGGAAAGTATGCGTGGAATCATCGGTCACAGACGGTAGGAGATCAACAAAAAAATACACGTTCGCCCGGGAGCGATCGACGATTGGAGAGCTGTTTCTGGGTGGTCGATGATATTTTTAAAACATATGGAGATAAAATATCTTGACTTCCTCTATACCATACAGGTGAATAGTGCTTTAGCGCACAATGATTGGCTTGTTCGGAAGTGATTAGCGAGTGCCATCCACCTCCGAGAAACCGATAAAAAACCATTCTTTTTGTTTCTGTGTGGTATATACAAATAAAACGCTTATTCACCTCAGTGTAAGTGAGGGTAATGGATATTTACCGAGCTGCAATGCTACAAGGTAGATATCCATCACTATATTCACCTTCACCTCGATAAATAATGGTTGATTTATTGTTTAATTTATATCACGAGAGTGGGTTTGCGCACAACAGATAGGAAATTTGTTTGCCGTTCGAGCGCCAGTCAGTAGCCAAGTGATCATCCATTGTATTATGCAGGTTTGATTTGCACTTGAATTTTGCAGATAGACACCTTTGCACTTTCCCTGAGACGATTATATTTGGCTTTGCATAATGCCGATTTGATATGCGCCTATACATCTGTATTGACCCCACGGTTAGTCAATAACCTTTGTTATATACTGCAAAGCGGACGACTATTCCCCACCCGCGGCTTTGAGGGTGGTTATGTTGATAAGCCGGAAGAGCAACAGTTTGCCTTTAAAAAAACATAACAACAAAAAAAAAGGAACAAAAACAAAACAAAACAAATCAAAGAGAGGATGTACCTGAGACAAAACAGAATAAGTATGAAAACAAAAAAATTCAACTGGACTTCTTCAAAACACGTTGCTTTTACTTTAGGTGGTTAGAGGTTAGCCTATCAGCCCGTAATATATCTCACGAATACGGTTAAAGGTCATTAAAATGGGAGGAAGATAGTATTAGCTATGCTATCATAGCTGGCCAAAGTATGAGTAGATAAAACCACAATATTTCCGCTTTGAGTCAGCTCTTAATGGAAAGAGCACCCACTTCTACGTGAACAGCAAATTTGATGTGCTTTCACGAAAAAAATAGTGTATGTATGCGATCATATTTAAAACGCACGCCTGAAGGAAAGTATGAGTGGAATCATCAATCACAGACGGTTAGGAGATTAGCAAAAAAATACATGTTCACCCAGAAGCGATCGACGATTGGAGAGCTTTTTTGGGTGGTCAATGGTATTTTTAAAACATATGGAGATAAAATATCTTGACTTCCTCTATACCATATAGATGAATAGTGCTTTTCGCACACGATGATTGGCTAGTTCGGAAGTGATTAGCGAGTACCATCTACCTCCGAGAAGCCGATAAAAACCATTCTTTTTTTTTTCTGTGGTATATACAAATAAAACGCTCATTCACCTCAGTGTCAGCGAGAGTAGTGGATATTTACCAAGCTGCAATGCCGCAAGGTTGATATCCACCACTATATTCGCCTTCACCTCGATAAATATTAGTTGATTTATTGTTTGATTTATTTCACGAGAGTGGGTTTGCGCACAACAAATAAGAAAATGGTTTGCCGTTCGAGCGCCGGTCAGTAGCCAAGTGATTATCTATTGCATTATGCATGTTTTATTTGCACTTTGTTGGAAATAAAATTCTAACACTCGTTGATGTTGTCTCTTTCTTTATTCCCTCTTACTCACAGTTTAATACAACTGGGACTAGCTCTCATCTCTCTAGGAAATTGTGGGTCACTGCTTTTAAAGGTGACACATACTGAGCTGTCAATCTCTGACCTTCGTCATCCTTTTACACTTAACCAGCGAATCACGTTAAGCTACGCAAAACGGAGTTCGCATACTAAGTAGACACCTTAGAGATGTTTACGCTTTACAAAATGACTTTCTGCTCAAAATTTCATAGTCTTACGGTCAAGGTCGGGCAAAACTTAAACGAGATTGGTAATATAAACTGAAAAGACAAAAAACTCACTAACAAAATTAAATTCATAGTTGAAAAGATATCTTAACAGAAAATAGTCCTCGAAGACCGTTACATAACAGCAAAATAAACAGAAAATTCGGAGAAGAAAGGGCGTACCAAAGGTATCGCCCCTAAAAGAGCTACGTGCTATTCGTATAAATTACCTGATTATAAATTCAGTGCAGAAGATGAAAAGTATTACATGTGTGCATCTTAAAAGGTAAAAGCATAAGGGACGGTTATTTCCAGGAAATTCCTGTACAGGATCAATTTTTATAAGGTAGAGTCATTTTCTTAGTAATGAAACATCTTTCAACAAAATAATGGAAATATACCGATATTTAGCCTCAAACTGCAGTTTACGCAAAAACATCAGTCTCCATGTCAAATTCACGATCATCATAAGGAAAAGGTGACCAAGAGATAAGACCGCCAAAAGGAATAAAAAATTATCAACTGGCTCATTATAATTTTTACTGAATGGCTTATGCTAATACATTATATTCATTTATTTCTCAACACAAATATAGGAAACCCTTACAATGTTTTTAGATTAGATATATTTCTATTTTCATCGTTAACAACTTGCATATTGCAGATATACAGCTTTGCGCTTTCCCTAAGACGGTTGTAATTGGCTATGCATAACGCCGATTTTATTTGCGCCTATACATCTTTATAATTATTTTTTTTACACTTATGTAGGGCTGGCTTTCTTGGAAAATTGCACAATGCAGATTCTATTTGTCCTTGCATTCGATCTGCACTCGCCGCCTGGTTAGCTCAGTTGGTAGAGCGCCAGTCTGCTGTGCGGGAGGTCGAGGGTTCGAGCCCCAGACCGGACCAACAACAACCAACACTCAGGGTCTTAAAATAACTGAGGAGAATGTGCTGCCTTTGTAATTGTACCAGCAAATGGTTAGACATTCAAGTCTTCTCGGATAAGGACTATAAACCGTAGGCCCCGTCTCCTGCATCTTCAGTGTTACTTGGTCAGCAGGGGACGTTAAAGAACCCACACACTTGTCGAAAAGAGTAGGGGGCGTAGTTCATTGTACATTTCATGCATGGGCTGGGTGGGTGAGTGAGATCAAATATGGACTGACAGCGGTAGCCAGAGGCGCCTTTACAAGCTGACGTTCGATCTCACTCAATTAGAATTGTAAACCGCCTTGAGACAGTATGTGATATGTGCGGTGAAGGAATGAACCGCCAGCGCGCGAACACGTGCACTATTTATGACACGCAATATTTACATAATAAAGAAGTAGTTTAATTAAAGTGTACTCATTCGGATCAAAACAAAACGATCGGCGCTCGAAATGATAAACTATTTCCGCTTTTGCTCTTCGCAGTGATTACAACAACTCGTCCAAGATCCATTTTTAAATCTTTTGCGACGCTCTTTAATCCTAAAAACATATTAAGGCTAAAAATACACCGTGAATAGAAACTAAATCCATTCAAAAGATTGCAGTTTATCGATCTCGAGTTCATTCATCTCAAGACAATGTAAACAAAAGGATACAAGATCACAAGTCTGTTCGCGCAAGATAGTTTAATTACGCTATTGTCCAAGTCTTTTGAAGTACCTTCCGCAGTTCCTTTGGTCTTCTTCCAAAATATCTCACCTTTTTCGAAACGAATAAAACCGAACTCATTCGACACGTTTTCGGCAGCCACCGAAAGCAATGCCCAAAGGAATAAACCGAGCCTTCGAGGTAAAAAATCCAGTGGTGTCACTCATTTCAGTAAGTCACAAATAATCCGGGCTGGAGTCGTAATGAAACGTTACAAAATATAGAAAACAAACCGGTTACTATGGTTTTCGTATCTCGTGTCGCTCTAGAACGCTTTCAGTATCTCTTAATTCTCCTACCCAGGTCCCTCAGACGAAACCAGTTGTGATTGTAATTTATCAGATGCCTAATTTGAATACACGTGATGACTTTCCATTTCCGCATTGAGTGTGTGGATCAAACAGCACGCGTTTTGATCTCCGTGACTGAACTGACTCGAAATGACTTTCAACAGAAACGACTTGAAGGTGATCTCCAACATCCAAGTTGTCAACTGCGTAGTGCTTTTCGTTTTGGGGCTTACTGATGGATTCGGCGTGCGTTTTGTGTATTCCAGTTTGACTTTCACCCCCTGTTGGATAGCGATCCTTGTAAGTAAAAAAATCAATTCAGAAAAATTGGTACTTCAAGTTTAAGTTAGAGTAGGTATTAAACATTCTTGTCTCGATATTTCGGAAAGACATTCGTATGCGGCACCAAAATTGCGAAATCATGTGGATATTTAATGCAAGCAGTTTCCATTTATCAACTTAACAAAACTTGTTAAGTGACTCACTTGCCTGCCCAAGAAAATGAAATGGGATGGAACATGCCTTAAAAAATGACTGCGTTTTATAGTTTTTGATTCATCTGTGTCGACATACTAAATTGTACCGAGACATGAAGGTCCGTCATTATCTATGAGTTTGCACCAAAGGCAAGCAAGGATCGACTAGTCACGTACGAATGATTCAAGTTCATTTTGGCTCATACTGCAAACTAGACTAATTATTAATTAAATAAATAATTTGTAATTAAGTGTGTCATATGCCTTCGACTATGAATAAACTTTTTGTCAAAATTCAAATCTTATGGAGTTCGAATTAAAAAAAAAATCATATTACACAAAGTTTAAAGTAAGGTAATGATATACGATTTAATCTCGTGATTATTTCTCAAATATCGTTTTCAAGAAAGTTTCCGCTTCGTTCGGAAATGTGGCTTAGAACACGCAACGGAAAATTGCGGAAGAACATTTCTGTCCTTGGCTTCACTTATCGCTTGATGAATTTAAAAGAAAAAACAAAAAGGTATTGATCTTTCAAACACAGAGGCAGATGAAAGTTCGACCAGTTCTTCACTCATACGATACTTCAGCGAGTAGATGTAACGCATGTTTTATTTGCGTTGTTTTAACGCTATTTGTCAGTATGATAAGAGGTCTGACCAAATATAATCCCAAGACAATCGGTCCACAGTACAATTTCAATCTATCAACGGTCATGCTCAAAAAATTAGATGCCGAGTTATGCCACAGTCCTTAAAGGTGTTGGTCGTAACAGTTTTGTTTTTGCAACAATAAACAGCGACCATGCAGGTTTTCCAAGCGATAAAAAGGGGAGAAAAATCAAAAATAAAAAAATTTACTAGGGGAGTCCGGTAAGATTTGTATTCTTGTCTCGAGTGAACACGTTTTTTAGTTCTTATTTTAAAGTTTGCAAATAGCTTTTTATACACTTACCAGAGGGAAAACGCTCAAGAACTCTCAGCCAAAGATGTCATCTAGTTTTCCTGGTAAGCACTCAAACATTTTATACGTGCTAAACATTTAAGCAATAGACCGCACCTTCTATCCGTTTACTGGCGTGATAACCCACGCGGGAGGACACGAGAAAAGGTTTTTCATTATAAAAAAGCGAAGGATTTAAAACCTGTGCGAGTTTTATAAATCACAAGATTAATACGTACGCATTGTGTGAATTCTTCTAACTCTTTTTTCGGTAATCGGCAACATGGAATCTATCTGATAGATAACTTAGTTATGGCTTACCGGGTCAATGGATGTTTAGTCAATCAGATTGCGCATATCAGAGTAATTTTTGAAACGAGACTTTTTTTTTTTTTAATGCGCCATTTTTATTTCTTTAAGGTGATGGCTGCTGGAATCATGGGCCTGAATATGAGCAGCAAGCAAAGACCTTCCTTAACTCTGGTACGAAATATAAACAATTCTATTTACGCATCATGAGGGATCCATTCATTCTCCGCCAGGTGGAATGTACGTTAAATGATTCCCGGTAGATATACCAATACATGAACCTTGAGTCCATAAGAGAGGAAGTAGCAACTTTTTGTGATGCCTTTTTTATTTTATACTATTTGTTTGTTTGTTTTTTTTGGTTTTTATAATTTTTTTGTGTTTTTTTTTGGCCCTTTGCAGATGAACGCCTTGCAGTCTGTGAGCGTAGCCTGTGCTGCAATATCAGCGATAACCGTGTACCACTATCTGGTCGCTTTGTCCAGTTTGATGGCTTTGGGTTATGCCTCATCGCTAAGCAGGGATTACTATAATAAAGATCCCCTTTTCTTTGATTCGGACCAGCTGCAAGACATAAACTTTACCGCAAAACAAAAATCCATGGTGGCTGTTTCTTCCCTGATCATCTTATGCTCCATCATTGAGATCATTCTTGCGGTGGCAGCCATCAGGAGCAGTAATATAACTGGTCAGAGCTCGCAGGAACAGCAAGTAAGAGAAGTTGATTATTACCAGATTCTTGACTCTAACAAACTTGATATTTCTGCGTTATCAACCTGAATCACTTTGATGATCAGTCAGTTAGTCATTCAGTTATTTGTCCAGTCAGTCAATTTTCGTCAAATCATTTCGTCTGGGCTATCAGTCATTAACTTAATTAGTCATTTATTTAATCAACATGTTTGGCAGCTCGCTATGAACAAACCAGTCGGAAACGTTTGTTTGCCAAATTACCTCGACTACACGGTGTATAAACGATATTTAATAATTATTGACCTAAGTGAAGGTGAATAGTGGTGGATATTTAGCCCAGCCGCGAAGCGACACCGATTGATTGTCTTAGTATATACCACGCAGAAACCGCCCCCCAAAAAAAAAAAAAAAAAAAATATAGTTTATTTATGTCAAGTTACTGAAAATGGGTTGATGATTAAGTTGTCAACGCGCAATTTTGTCTCTTTGGCCACTCGGAGGTGAATCCTACTTGCTAGTCACTTTGGAACCAGCCATTATTCACGTGTGTGGTATACGCTAACACCTAATATTCCTCAATTTTAACCGATGGATCACATTAATTGGATCACAAAACGTGAAATCAAAACAGCCAATCAGGGCGTACGATAAGCACTACTCACCTGCGTGGTTTATACTAATACCGGATATTCCTCAATTTTAACTAATGCATATTGAATCACGAAACGCCTTTAGACCAATCGCGCAAAGGAAACATTTGATGGACTACAAATTATTAAATGAACCAGGGTAATAAAACACATCATATCTCAATTCATTTTCAGGTAAGGATTTGCCATGGCCAGCTTGAAGCTGGTGAGGTGCCGATCCATATGCAAGAGCAGCCGACCTCAGTCGCAGCCCAACCATTGGTGGCTTTTCCAGACACTACTAATTAGTAGCTACAGTTGAACCTTAATTAAGCCGTCACCATGTATTAAACTGTCAGTTGCAATCGTCAAAGTCTCGAATGTTTTATCCCTTAATCACTGTGAAATGTACCTACATTAAGCGGTCACATCTATTTGGCGGTCGCCGTCACCGTTTACTCAACGGCCTGTTTTTTATTGTCTTTCACTTTTATTGGACGGTCAATAAAAGCGAAACCACTCAAATAAAACTAAAGATACTATTTTAATTACTTTTTATCTATGTTTCTCTACAAAAATAAAAGTAAGTAATATTTGCAACCGACATTCTGCATATGAAGTGGTCAATTATGGCATAAAATGGCGTTTTTATCGTTTTTAATGATACCCTGATCAGTGGAACCTGAATTAAGTTTTCAAACTGTTTAAGTGGTCACTCAACCACTCCCCGTGGGTAACCGGTTAATGTAGGTTCGACTGTATTGTGAACACCCTTATTAGCCCTAGAGGGTATCATTCACTTCCCGGTAGCCGACAGAAACTAATCTTTCTGGCTTATGTATATGGCATATTCTACTAAAACGGTTATTCACCTCAGTATCAGTAAGAGTGGTGGATATTTACCGAGCTGCGAAGCTGCGAGGTAAATATCCACCACTATTCACCTGTACTTTCGGTGAATAATTTTTGATTTAGTTCACGGGAGTGGGTTTTGCGAAATAAATAGGAGAAAGCAGATAGGGGAATGGTAAGGCGTTCGAAGGCCCATTAGTAACCGGATGATTGACAATTTCATTATGCATGTTTGATTTGCCCTTGAATTTGGCAGATTTACTGCTCTGCTCTTTCACTGAGGCGATTTAATTTAGCCTTGCATTATGCCGTCGGATTTGATTGCGCTAAGCTTATACATTGTCTAGATAATTTCTTTATGCATGTTTAATTTGTACTTGCATTCTGCAGATTCATAGCTTTGCGCTTTCCCTGGGATGATTTAATCTGGCTTTGCATAATGTCGAAATGATTTGCACCTATATATCTTCCTAATCATTTTCTTTACAGTTATGTAGGGCTGGCAAATTGCACAATTCAGATTTAATTTGTCCTTGCATTATGCAGATTCGATCTACACTCGTACCGTGCTAATTTGGCTTGTACCTGCATTTTGCTGATTTGTTTTTCCGCTTGAATTGAAACCTCGGAATTGTTTCAGTCCTATATGAGAACACTTTCGATGGTTAATCATTTGCCTTGTGTCTTCTCCAGCATTTGAGCTTCCACGATTTACCGAAAAAATATGATAAGGCAGATTTATATTAAATGAGTCGGGGAATTTCTCTTGATCAACTCCGGGTTTCATATATTATTAGTTGAATGTGGTCCATGTCACCGAAACTCGAACTTTCGCGAATCAACCGTCTCTTCCACTCGACTAGAATGAGAGGTTCTCCTGGAGCAAGCGTTACAAAATATAGAAAACAAACCAGTTACTATGGTTTTCGCATTTCTTGGTGTCACGACTTTCTGAGCTCGAGAACGCTTTCAATATCTGTTCATTCTCTTACCCAGGCTTCTCGGATGAAACCAATCGGGACTTTAATTAATGCAATACCTAATTTGAATGCACGTGATGACTAGCCATTTCCGCATTGACTGCGTGGATCAAACAGCACGCGTTTTGATCTCCGTGACTGAACTGACTCGAAATGACTTTCAACAGAAACGACTTGAAGGTGATCTCCAACATCCAGGTTATCATCTGTGGAGTGCTTTTCACTTTGGGGCTTATTGATGGTCTCAGCGTGCGTTTTATGTATTCAAGTTTGACTTTCACCCCCTGTTGGATAGCGATCCTTGTAAGTAAAAAAATTAGTCAGAAAAATTGGTACTTTGAGTTAAGGTTAGAGTAGGTATTTAACAACTTCTCGTCTCGATATTTCGAAGAGAAATTCTTGTGCGGCACCAAAATTGCGAAACCTTGTGGATATTGAGTGCAAGCAGTTTCTATTTATCAACTTAACAAAACTTGTTAACTGACTCACATGCCCAAGAAAATGAAATGGAATTGAACTTGCATGAGAAAATAACTGCGCTTTATAGTGTTTGATTTATCTCTGTGTCGACATACTAAAGAAAGAAATTGTATCGGGAAAAGAAGGCCTTTTATTATCTATGATTTTGCAGCAAAAGCAAACAAGGACCGACTAGTTACGAACCAGTGATTCAGGTCAATCCTGGCGCATAGTGCAAACTAAACCAACCACTAATTGAATAAA